GTAGCCAGATGTATGTTAGAAGAAACCCATTTTCATGTGCCATGATGACTGCAGACAATACACTTATAAATGCACCTACTGTATTATTAATTTATTAAATTCCTTTTAGTTTGTTGGTCTTCATTGTCTTTTTCATCACAGGACCACTTAAGACATAATGTCATGAAATGTCATTTGTTCTCAGTTGCTGATTTAGCTGTGATGCTTACTTTTAAGTAAGTGGAACTTTGAACTCCATTACGCATTTTGCGATTTTGCTCAGGTTCATATATCACAGAAACTTCACTTAGTCTCTGTGTGAAGATGGGAAGTTTGTATTAATGAAATTACCTTATCTGTTACATGAATGGAACTGAGTAACAGTTTTTTTTTCATGTGCATTTTTCTTCTGTTAGAACTGTATGTCACACACATTACATCAATCACACACAGATGTCTGGCTAAACAATTTGAGGCTTCTGCTCGGTGCTTGTGATTTTATCTGCCTCTTGTCCAGATGTTCAGTATTCTAGTTATATTTTACCTGCACTGGTTTTGTGTTCATGTCTATGCAATTGCTGTTGCAAATCATTTTTTGGAATATAGCCTGTGTCAGTGCTCACCTCATGTAGGTTGCATCCCACTTTTTATGAATTGAATGGCAGAATACTGGGCTTACTGTAAAAGCTTTATAAATGTTTGTTGTATAATTATCTATCTGTATTTTTGTATGAAGTAAATATTTAAAACTGCTGTGATTGGAGTTTCATTATTTCACCAGCCTTTTTGAGTTTAAACAATTATGGCGGCAATTCAACATCAAAAACTGAGAAGAATGTAAGATCCTTATTAAATCAAGCAGGGCTCATTGAGCCTGGAAGTAGAGCTGGAAGTAGGGACCCACTGAGCCTTGTAGTGGAGCCGTGCCATGGGGACCACTAAGCTTTGAAGAGGATGTGCACCATAAATTTCTATGAGTCATTACAAGCCTTACAGAACATCTACACAATGACATAATGTACAGGCCATGGTGGTGTCTAAAGAATATAAATATCCTTCTGAGAATAAAAAATAAATCGAATATTGAAATGAAGTTCAAATGATTGAACTTTTATTTATTTTCTATAATGTATTATTTTATTATTTGTTATGTTAGTTTACAAGTCATCAGAAAATATCTGAATATTGAATATTTGACGATTTCTCTAAACCTTTAGACCTATTCCTCGAATCCACCATTAAATGTCAGTATTATGCTAACGAATGAAACATTTCTTTGCATTTGAAGTTACTCATTTTATATTTCATACTCCCCAGACTCTCGAGTCATGAATTTATTTTCCATTACACTAATAGCACATCTAGATCAGGCTTAACAAATAACCCCAGTGCGAGAAACATTTCTGGTAGAAAAAAAAAACTTACTTTATATGCATTACTAAGACTTATTATGTCATAATTGTGGCTTAGTATGTTTTTTTGTCATAATTGATTTACCAAAGCATATTTTTTTATTAGGTGGCAAAAACGGACTTTCATAGTTTAACGTTTACTGTAACATAAGTCCACAACTCCATGGTGTGCATATTTGAATGATTTTAAAGGGGTCATATGCAGTGGTGGAAAGAGTACTGAAAAAATATACTCAAGTAAAAGTACCATTACCTTCCAAAAAATGTAGTGTGAGTAGAGTAAAAGTACTTGTCCAAAAAACGACTTGAGTATATTAGAAACTCATAGTTCAGCATCACACACCATGATAAGGGTTAAAATGAGAGCCCATTTCTCTCCAAAACGGTGCCAGTTTTAGCGTTTTGCAATAAAGAAATAAAAATAACTAAACTTGATAATTTATGTTACAATTTTAACATAAATGCACATGGTTCTAGAAGAATGGCAAATTCATGTTAACGCCACGGGTCATCAATAAGGTGCAGATTTGGTCCTCAATTTTGGTCCTCAATTCACACTTTTTCACAGCGCGAATCACACTCTCAAACTCATCAAAAGTCAACAAGTTCCACAAGCAACAACGACTTATCCAAGTGACTGCTGCAGAACGCACGCGAGAGAGAGACGAGGCAGCGCAGATCGCGCGACTCATAAGTGAGAGGGAATTTACCGAACGTGGCACTTGCGGGAGTTAACACTGTATGCAATACCCGCAACCTCACACCAAATTTCAGGCCGTGTAGATAGAGCATATAGTGAAGATTTAGTCGCATTTGCGAGTGATTTACTCGCAATGTAGAGGGTTGGGATAGTTGGCCAATCAGAGCACACCTCGCTTTTTCAGACCGATGAGCTTTGTAAAAATCGACGCGTTTCAGAAAGGCGGGGCATAGAGGAGAAACAATAATGTACAGTATGTGGAAAATAATGTGTTTTTGAACCTTAAACCGCATAAACACATTTCATTACACCAAATACACAAAATAATGTTCTTTTTAGCAACATTATATGACCCCTTTAATATATTTTAATCTTATAGCAGGGCTCTCTCAGGGCTATGTGCACTGTTGCCAACTCTTAAGAGACAAATAAGCAACCACAGCTTCAAAAACAAGCCCAATATTATTTGACTATTTATTATCATCAATATTATTTATTATCAGTTATTTATTACCAATAAATGAGCCTTTAACCTATTGAACTGAAACCAGAAAACACAAAAATCAGCAAACTGCAACAAAGCGGGAGCACCGACTATCCACTCATCTTCAATCAATTGTGAGCAGAATAAGATTGGAAAGATGGAAAAGGAGAAAAAGACGAGCTTTAAAGGGATAGTTCACCCAAAAATGAAAATTCTGTCATTAATTACTCACCCTCATGTCGTTCTAAACCCATAAGACCTCCGTTCATCTTCGGAACACAAATTAAGATATTTTTGATGAATTCTGAGAGCTCTCTGACCCTCCCATAGACAGCAATGTAATTACCACGATCAAGGTCCAGAAACATAGCAAGGAGATCGGTAAAATAATCCACGTGACATCAGGGGTTCAACCATAATTTTACGAAGCTACGAGATTACTTTTTGT